TATTTTACTTTATTAATTATACCATGTTCAAGATAAAGAAGATTCAAATCATGTAGATGCCAAAGTTTTAGGTTTTGGACTTCTGCTAGAAAAGGAATTAATCCTTACATTCAGTAACCACTGAAGCATAAACACAACAGTAACTTCTGCTGCTCGTTTCTTATTCCAAAAAAAATGGCCTTTAAACAAAAAGACTTCATGATAGGACCTATGGTGCATGACATTAATGCTCACAAAGCTTAGGAATCAATTAAAAGATTATTTCATTTAATGCCATCATAAACTACCATCAAGCACCCCTGGAATACAAAACCAGAGTCTGGAAGACAGTTATGCTTCCATGGAAAACAAAACAGAAAGCAAGAGAAAAATCTTTGGAGTTCTACAAAGAAATGAGGAGCTACTGAGCTATTTTCAACATATTTCTGTCAACTGTCCTCCTTTTTCAGCCATTCCTCTCTGCAATAATCTTACCAGTCCCAGGTGCAATTTGTGTTCAGTACTGCAGATCAGCAAGAACTGCTGTCCTACAACCCCCAAACCTGGCACAGCTGGTTATCCCTGCAGCTGCTAATGCAGGCTCCATTTACTCTTCTCCAGGACTGACAGCTGCTTCTGTGGATTTTTTAAAATCATTCGCAACTTTCAGTTGTTACTGATTTAACATCAAGATGCACTCCCATTTTCCTGGTTGGGGCAAAACTAAAGCTAGGAATGTCAGAAGATTGTCATGATCTAGACTGAATCTGGATGATGCAGATTGAATGTATAGAAAGATCAGATCACCTGTACTTGGATAGGGGGAAATAAATCCACTGTTCCATGATACAAGATTGATTACTAAATATATGCTTTAAAAACAGTTTTTTTAAACACAGTTTTCACACCTTGTGTTAATATTGTTGTGGGACTTCTGAATCTGGAAATCTTACTTTCCATGTCATTGCACTTTCTGTTACTATGCTGCCTTCCCTCAGCCTTTAGTAGTGAATTCCTGTGAACTGATTTTTTAAAGAGCACAGTAGAGACATGACAAGTTCCCACCACTTAACTTGGAGTGCCGCACTTATTATCATGATTAGAGGGTCTGAGAGTCATGTGATATCTAACCACTGCAATAAAGCTACACTCATCCCAGTAAATGTACACACAGACACCCTGAAGCCCATTCCTGCACTATGAGAAAGCTATGTATGCATTCTTAAATGTGTTTTTTCCTTACTTGATCAGAAAAACCAACAGCTCAGGCTTTGAGCATACACTTTTTTTCCATTCTAAATGAAGAATAATATAACTTCCCAGGTTCCCAAATAGCTCATACCTTCAACTGAAATATTTTTACACTTTCAGAAACGCACACTTCTGACGGCTGAAAATATGCTAAGTTTGATATTCAAGAGTTACATTTCACTCTCCAATGCACAGAATTCATTTTGCACCATAGATTATTTTCTTCAACAAACACACAAAAGAACTTACTGCGACCTTTCTTTCTACCCTTATATATTAAACAACTTGTATGAAGAACAAACTCCCTTGTGAGTTGAAAGTAAGTGCAGCAAAGCTGACCTTCAAATCAAGAAATGTACCTGCAAATAAGGAACACACAACTGGTACTGAGATTTCATTCCAGCTGCAGGGTTTCATCTAGACTTTATTGTAAAGTCAAGTCTGTGACCTCTCTAATATTGCCAGTCCCCAGATTCACACAAGACTCTCCAAAATTATGGAATTTTAAATATGGTTAACATTGAAATTTAGTAGCAGCATAAAGTACACCAATTTTATCACTGAAAAAGGAATGCCTTGATGTCTGCCATTTACTCTTAATCCTCCTGTATCTGTTGAAGATTAATAAAACAGGTCTCAAGACAGCAAAGGAAAGTTAACGTTGAAAGGGCCATGGGTTTCGTTTTGAAGGACCTCATTCTAAATATTAGTCTATTTTTTTTAGTCTCGTGAACAGAGTTACCCCTGCTGCAAAGGACGGAAAAATAATGCAAATATGTCAATTTTGGAAATAGAGTTCACGTAGACATTTAAAAGCAAGAGATACTACTTTAGAACTGTTTCTTTGAAAAAAAAAAAGTTCTCTTTTCAAACTAGTATTTCACTTGGCACTAAGAATTCTCTTACTCATGATACAGTGAGTTTCTTGCAGCAGACAGAGGTCCTGACTTAAGTCAAAAGACACATATATACTTCTGAAGCCCAGCAGGGCACAAGAAAAATGTGTTCCTTAATGCCACATTTGGTTATGAACTAGCCAAAGGTCTGTACAAGTCAATTGGCATCACAATAGTGACGTGTTCATATCCGTTAAAAAGAAAATCTCAAGAGCCTCTAGGTTAATAAATTATAACTCCTTAAAGCTAGAGGTGTTGGCTAATAAACGAACTAAGCAACATTACAGAACATGCTGCAAATTATATTGAGAGTCTTTCACTCAAAGATCTGAGAACCAAGACATACAGACTTCTTACACAATCCATAAGTGAGATATACTTGGAGAAGTGGTAAGCATTTTAAGTTAGGCTCCACTTCTAACAAAAGAGTTCGCCCTGTCCCTAACTGTTTGGCCAAGACGGATCCTTAAACAGTAAGTGCTGCAAAAGCATCTGAAGCTGCAGTGGGACTTGCCCAGGGAGCACTCCCAAACACAGGAAATCCCACAATGGTTTATTTTTAATTATCTTTTTTTGTATTTCAAATGACTGCTTTGCTGCTCTGCTGCATCAGGAACAATGCCTTTCTGTTCCCTACTGTAAAGCCTGACACTTTAACAAATTACTGCTAGCAGAAAAAGGAATGTGCTCATTTTGGCAGACAGTACTAGGTTCCCAAAATGCAGACTAACAAGAAGTGCCAGGTTTTAGAACTGAAATGGCATTAGCAATACAGGGAAGGTAAATCAGCTGTCAAGCACTAAACTGAACCAGTGATTATGACAGTCATGTCTAAAAACCTGAATCTCCTAAATAAGAAGCATAAAAGCTTATCAACACCTGGTTTTAAAAGTTGGGTTGGAGTGACAAGAGAGGCACAAAGTATCAGAAGAAACATAAAACAAAACCAAAAACCACAAAGAGGGAAGGAGAGAAAAAAGCCACAAAGGAATATTCTGAGCATGAAAAATATATTGACTTGTACCAGCAACAGAAAGCACCCTGGGGTCATGCCCTCATTTGTATTCTCTCACAAGCTGCATTTTATCAGAGAGGAAAACTAAGTGCAATTGCCTTCACATTGTGCTTTGCCTCTAAAGCTTTTCTCCTCTGCTTCCAGGATGTTGGTAGTTTTCAGATTGCACCAAAGGTAGTGACACAATCATGGGACCCCGACAACCGTGTTTAGACAGAGAAGTGTTAGAAAGGTGTAACTGGCATTAAACTTTTCTGTTGTGTACATGTAGCACAATTGATCTTCCAAAAAAGTCCATTCTGTGCAAGCTTTGCAGTGTTTTGTTTTAAAAGGTGTGTTTAACAAGTTCTGTGGCACACATACAGTCAGTACAACCACCTGTGAAAGGGAATGACCAAAACCAGGTGCTGGTCAAAATAAAACAAAACAAGTCTTCATCTGTTCCCCCTTCCTCCCCAAAAATGACATAAAGAACAAACATCTTGCAGCAGAACCTGAAAATTAACCAGATGGGGCTGAAGGGAAGCAATTTCACAGTTGCAGACTTTTTGAAATTAAGTCAGGGGCACATTGCATACAGCAACCAGACTGAGTGCCCCTGTACTGTGCCAAGGAGACAGCTGTCCTCCCAGCAACCTAAGAATTCAACTATGATTTGTAAAGCTATAAAAACATGTTAATCTTAGAATTGCATCTGGAAATGAAATAGTTTAATGTGTTCCCTTTCAAAATACTAGTGGCAACATTTTGCAAAAGATGATACTTTCAGTTTAGGGCTTATTTCCAACCACAAAAGCCAAAATAATCAAACATACAGTGCTTGATACCAAACCCAGAACACACATAATCTCAGTTTATTTAAACTAGCATTACTGGTTTAGATTCTAGTTTTAGGCTTAGGTACTAGCACTACTGCTTAGATACTAGCGTACCGACTAGATTACTAGTCAGAAAAACCCCACACCCATCCCCATTTGCAGGCAGCAATACTCAGAAGTCAGTTCTGCTCGAGGTAATGCCTGTCAGCAGACAATTACTGAGGCTGTCTTTAAATGAGTAAATTTCCATCTTTTCTCTCTTGGAGAAAAAAAAAAAAAAAAAGAACACAGTAGGAATATCAAAGCTGTCTTTGATTTTTATTTTTTTTTCTGGAAAAGTGTGACTGGTCTTGCATTACAGAAGGTTACACTGCTGTAAGCTTGGTACTCACGTGCCAGACAGACGAGTTGAGGCTGAGCTCTTTCTTCCTAGGCATACTGCCTCAAAGTAATTTGAGTTTCAAATGACCCACTCTTAGAAAAATCTTAAACTAGCCTTAAAGGAAAGGTATAACAGCTGTCAGAATGTTCATCCCTATCAGATCTACTGAAAGGAGGTATGGACTTATAACTGTTACCATGGTTCATCATGTCACTGCAGGTGAGCAGAGCTCTGGTAATCAATCATCTTCACATCCAGCCCATAGCAATTATACAGCATTAAGGCCAACTTTGAACAGCAAAGGAATTTCAGGCCAGTCTAAAATAAATTGCTTTATTTTGGATTTGCTGTAGTCACATAGTCACCTTTGCTGCTGACACACAGCAACCTGCTAAGCTGTCGTAAGTGGATTGCAGTTCTAAGCCCTACAGCTTTCAAGAAAGTCACTTTGTGTGGCTTAACTCCAGATATTCCAAACCTGGGACTACATTTTAACCTTTTTTTAATCTTTACTTTTTATGTAATCAATCTGAAAATAAAATACTTCATTATTCCACAGTTACTGCTGACACAAAAAGTCCCACTGTATCCACCAGCCCACCCAGTTAATAACTGGCGCAATATGGCCTGCCTCAGTGCAGGGAAACCAAGACTCTTACCTGCTCGGGGCTCTATTGTCCTGTTGGAACCTGCATCCATAAAGACAAACCGTCCACCACCGAAGTCTTCAGTGTAGTCAGAGAGATAGAGCAGTGAAGTATAGTCAAAAGAGCCATAAGTTACCTAAAAGTAAGACAACATTACTAAACATTACCCAATTCTACTCTTATCTCTGCAGAGCACAAATAATGAAGTAGATGGATCCGATGAGTTTTTCTGTTTTTCCAGTTTTCACTTATTAAATAAGAGGTCACAAAACTGAGAACATTCTTTTCTAGAAATGATGTATGTTTATTAGTCTATTCTATTCTGTTTACACACACAACATACAAGACTAGCATGTTATGTTTATTATTTCTACTATTACAGTTTCCATCATTTACAAAGTACTCCTATAGATTTCTATCAACCTAAGTCTACTAAACAGCAACCAAAAACAGTGTCAGAAGTTACACCTCTGCATTGTATCAAAAGTATAGAAGGGCTCAGATCTATTTATGCTATTTCAAGATAAAATTTCACTAGAAGGTTAGAGACCCAAAACCAGCCTTTGACTAATTAATTCCACCCATTATCTAATCATGTTTATAGGTTTCTGGAAACTTCACCTTTTACTCTTTCAGCAGCTACCATGCAGGAGCTTCATGGTAACAATGAATCAGAGCTTCCACAGAAATACACATTTGTTGGAGGAACTTCTACTCTTTTCCATGCAGGTTTTTGTTTCAAAGACCCTGCTTCTTTTCAGCCCACAGACCAAACACTCAATTTTTAAGAATAACAAGGTGATTTTCCTTCCTTTTAAAGTATTATCTTTTCTTGATATATATATTGAAGATGGAGAAAATCCAGCCATTAATATAGTATATATTAATGTTCAGGGTGAAGTTATCTAAATATTTAACACTGAGCTTAGCTGATTCTGAAAATATTTCCTTTTCATATCTACATGTCACCAACAATTAAAAATATACTTAAAATCAATGGCTGTATTCTCCAATTTCTTTACAGTGTATCACAACTCAACCAAGTTCTGCATAACACTGTCAAACAGCAGAACGTGCAGCACAGCAGTACTGTGCAAACATACAGCATTTGTAGAGTGTTTTGACTGACCTGGTGACTTTTAGAGATAGGTGCTACTTCCAAACTTAGAAGTGTTCTAAATATTTTCAATTTTGTTTTAAGTTACATTCATTAGTGCCAGTTAAATTCTGGCTCAACAGCAGTTGTACATATTACCCTGTAAAAGCAATGACTAAAGAGAACATAGCAGCAGATGGAGTTGGAAGAGATTTTCATTCTTTCTCATTTTATTATTTTGATAATAAAGTCTTAAAGAAAAAAAAGCCAAATGTGGTGATATGCTGCACTACACAGTCCAAATCACAAGAATGAGAGAAATGTTTTGGTGATCCCCTTCTCCCCGTATCCACCCAAACCTTAGTAGCAATATAAGGCAATAAATTGGAATTAACAAGCCTGTGGTACTGTAGCACCTCAAAACAGCTATTCTACAGCCCTCCTCATGCAACCAGCTTTGTAAAGCTATTTTAAACCTCACTGAGTTGTTGATAAACTTCCAGTCAATCTAAGAAAGTTTTCCAGCCAGTAAAGGCATTAGCTTAGTGAAGAAGTTCAAAAGAGAAGTTAAACTAATGCATTACAATTGTTTTTACGAACTCTCCAGTGGTGCAGCGGCCTTTGCTCCATCAGTGCATTCTCCATCCTCTCCAAGGCAGCTTTACCAGTTCTGAACTTTTCAGAGCTGACTACAAACCATTTGAGCCTAAACACATCTGATTTCTATATATGACTAATTTGAGAAACCAAGTGTGCAGTGGAAAATGGCTTTTCTGTTCCTGTTCATTACCAATTTTCAGAAGGCAGCCAGGCCTGAGAAATGCAACACTATGGAAAGGAGGCTCTAAATTATACTCAGTTATTTAAAATGCTAGAAGTCCCCCATGTATATCAAATGTATTTATTATCCTGGTAATAATTTCCAATACCAGAAAGGTTAATAACTGACCCAGAATTTCAAACTATGTGAGAAAAGCTGTCACTAAAACCAGGTGATAAGCCATACAGGCACACTGCAGCAAATCAAATTTCTATAGCTCCTTATTCAATAGAAAAAAAACACAGGCATTTCCATTCAGCCTGATCCTTCATACAGTTAGTGTGCTCTTTTTGACTGCCCTTTACCCAAATAACTGAAATACAGCTAATATTTAATGCTAGATGCTCACAATGATATTTATATGATACTTCTTTAAAGACTTATTATAAATACAACTAATTGTCAGAATTAGCCAGCCACATTTTGCAGTGTGGCATCCTTGGGTTTTTGAAGGACACATTTATGTGTAACTAAACAGTTGTAGGAATATGCAGTGGACCTGAAGAAAATAAGCCATGTATTCAACTTTCCAATCAGCAAAGGTCTAGCATGATATCTTGCAGAAATGAGAATCAAAACTGCTCTTTTCCTATAAGCCTCTACCTACCTCTGTGCAGATAATCACAAAAATAGCTGTGATAGCTACTTCCAATGTTCTATTTATTGGCAGTATCTATTAAATAGACAATGTAAGACACCAAATAGCATGTTTCTGAAATGCAAGGGGCTGTGGGTGAGTCAAGGTAACAGGTTTGAGAAGACACAAGAATAAACTTCCTCAGATCTCAAAGAGGATGCTGTCCTAAGGCAAAAGCAAGATCTTCTGCTGCATTCTGTTACATCTCTCACAATATGAGGGGAAGAAAAAGAAGAGTGAAAAGTCTGCTAGAACAGACAGCAGCTGCTGTAGTGACAGCCTGAAGAGCCAGAGGAGAGAGGGCTGCCAGAAGGGTTAGGGAGATGGAGAGCATATCACAGGTAAGGTTTGGCTTGTTCAGCTTAAAGAAAGAAAAGGTGAAAAAGGATACAATTGCTACCTATAAATACATGGGGACAGGAGGCTGAACTGGGAGGAAGTGGAGGGGAAATAGCTATATAAAATGATCATGAACAAGTTTAGGCACCAAAAAAAAAAAAAAAAAAAATAATTTGCACTGAAGTCCTGAAATAGCTCCAACAGAAGGAATTCAAGCTAAAAAAACCCCCAAAATTATCTTATGGCAGAGCCTGACAATTCTGTGAAGGATGACAGGATCCTCATCCAGGCAAAGGACTGCAGAAATCTTCAAGTCCTGCATCGCTTCTCTTAGAGAAGACTGTAAGACTATTCTGCTGTGAGAGTTGAGCGTACACAGCAATTTCAGTATAAATCAGACATTTGAAAGGCTCAGCTCCAAACAAATTCCATCCAAGATGAAACTCCACATCTTAAGCCAACACTCTCTTTATTTGATTTAGCTGCTTATAAATTCAACAAGATTAAATTAGTCATTTAGGCAATTTCAGGGTTTCCATTCCTGTGTAACTAAAAACCAAATAAGTTTTAGGGAAAAAAACCAAAGCTTCATACAGACACAACAGATTATGCAGTTAAAATCTTCCAAACCAAGAATATTCAAATAGAGAAATATAATTGCAATAGACTCAGCAATACAGGGAAAAAGGCAAGAGGGATATTCATGTGCTCCAAGAAGCCTACATTTTGAATCAACAGTGTCAGACTTGGAAACAAAAAATGTGTCAGATTCATTTTTCAAAGGCTTAATTTTTACCCTTTCTTTTGGAAAGGGGCAGGGAAAAAAAATCCTAAAGTATTCTAGAAACAACCTTCACTGTTTAATTATTTACAGAAATACATAAAGTGATTTCTCCTATTCCAAGGGGAAAGCATAAATAATTATACAATGCAAAAGCATCCAACAAACTGGCAAAGTATTTAACATGATGAGTGTTATTGATCTTTCTTCAACTCCCTAGTATTCACGCTTATTTCGGAGGCCACAAGAATACTACTGCTATTCTCCGAGAAGCAATTCCTACCTCAGATCAATAGCCATGTATTTTTTTCTTTGCTTTTAACTGCAGTCTGGAAGCAGTTAGTGAAACTTAGTTTGTTGGAGAAATTAAAATACAAGGCAGGCTGACTGCACTGAAGGCAACCTGTGAAGCTACACAACTTGTCTGTTCTATTTAGCCTTCTCTGAAATATTTTCTGACCTACTTACTTTCTATTTGAATTCAGTCTCCTGCATAGCCTGATCAGCTATAAATACTTTTTTACCTCTGTCTAAACACACAATGATATAGATACAGATATACATAATGTACACCTACAGTAGGCTAAAATTCTATGCAGACATACTCTACACACACTGTAACATTTTCTTTAAGCCATGATCTGGCAAACTTACATGAAAGCTCCATCTAGACAGCTGTGTTCCAATTGCACTTACAGGGAAAATAATACCAGACCTTTTGAGGCACAAATAGAAGTTAGAGGAGAGAGGAATTAGAGGCTTGTTTGTGCAGCAAGGAAAGGATTCAAATTAATCCTTTGATGCCAATTCAAGTGAATGATGTACCAGAAGCGAAGGCAGACAGTGTCCAGTAGCAATGATGACGTAATTTTGACTTTCATGATGAACATTAAGTGAACAGGATCAAGGATGTATCTCTACCAGATGCTACTGTAAAGGCATCATTACCCTGGTTCAAACTCTGAATTTTCAACCAGGCAATGCAAACTGCTGTCATTCATCACCATAGAAGGAGTTGTATTATCTGGTAATAGCTGGAGTCCTTTATCCTAGAGAAGGGATGAGCCACTGAGCTGGGGCAGTTTCCACAATTATCACCCCAGCCCACAGTGGCTTTGTCCATCTCTCTTCAACACCCTCTGCACTGGCAACAGCATTTGCTCCATGTGAAGACCAAAGAGTGAGAAATGGACCCTCTAGTCATGAGCTCAAGAAGCACTTACAAGAAGTCTGCTCTAGGTCTCTATTCCACAGCACCCACAAAGCCCCTTCACTGTGGCTAGGGGCCAGGGAAGTTCTGCTCCCTTGTGCTCCCCAAAAAAAAATGAAAGGGAACTGACCCACACGAGGCTCACTGCTTAGCATGCAGCGTTGCTGTCACGACAGCACAGACAGCAGCTCAAATTTGACTTGTTCACACGCAATCCTTACTGTGAAAATGCTCTTGAACAAGAACTAAAATAACCACATTATATTTTATAACCACAATATATTTTCCATTTTGATCAAACCTGGAACATAAGTTTAAGGCACAGATAAAAAGCACTTCAATGGTTTGTATGCTTCAGCTTGCCCAACACAGACAGCTTACTGCAGAAGTCAGCTGCTACAGAGTAAAAAAAAATCACCCAACTACTTCTATAGAATAAACAGGACGAGTCACACTTAACTCCCACTGTTATCTAAACAACACTTCTCTCAGAAAATACCTTGACATTTAGCATAAGTCACATTTTCATATTTTACAGCAGGTATGCTGTTGGGGGGCACAAATTCTCCATGATTATGAACAAGGTGTTTGGTAACTGCCCTAATCAAGAGAAGTATCTCTTCACTGCTGTCATAAATAAGACTAGCCAATTATTCAGTATAGAAACTAGTAAGGTTTAGGTTATGCATAGCAAGTTTAAGAGACCACATTTTGTGTTTGTTTTGGGGTTGGTTTGGTTTTTTTTTGAAGCTGGGGGTGCATTAGAAAAAGCCAAGGCAAATCAATTGGTGTAACTGCTCCCTGAAGAGACAGTCTCCAAGATAAATAAAATGTGGACAAAACAGATGAATAAAAAGAGCAAAGCATCTAGCCTGCTGTCCATCATGTACAGGCACTGTCAGAATGCCATAACAGAGAAGCAGCTCCTACAAAGGAAACAAGTTCTCTTCACAGGAAGAGATTTGCTTCTAAATGACAAAATAACTTGGTATATTATAGGAGAGATTTATGTAGAAAGACTTAATTGTGAGGTTATCCAACCACGTTATTCATTTACTAATGCAAAACACATGCAGAAAAGAAAAAAGAGAATATTGGCAAGCCTCATGCTTATGCAGACACAAATCTCATTATAGTAATAAATCAGAGTCTGTAGTTCTAAAATACACTTTTTTGGGATGAAAGAAAAAAGCAGAGAAAATAGCCATCAGCTATTGAAATTTACTGCTTTCTCTTCCCTTGTGGCAGTCAAATTAAATTCTCTTAAAGTGTGGAAAAACTATGAGGAACCTATGAATTTATTGCACTTCACACACCCAGAATCACTGTTTTATTTGGTGTCACTTGGAAACAAGTGCAACACATGATGGAATTCCTGTGAGCCCCACCAGCACAACTGGCTCCCTACAACTAGTTCCAAACAGCACCAGTCAAAATAACCTGCACCTCAGAATCATCCCTACCACCTCTGGTCCTAGGTCCACTCCTATTCAATGGTTACATCACAGTTTTTTTAAACAAGAAGCATCCAAAAGCTGGTCTTGTCTTTGTTGTATCAGTGACTGCAATTTCCACCCTGTGTGACTTCCTTCTTTCAAACCGTGGCTGTATCAGGTGTCATCACTGTCACCACGCTTTCTAAATTTCAGCTGCTTGTGCCTACATGACAAGAAAGGGGACAGAAGCTTACACTAGTGCTGTGAGCAACAACTGACAGCATACTTTCCTCAGACTGACTTTGCCCAGGAAATATTTTCAAGGCAAAGTATATTTCAGTTTGATTTTTCATCTTAGATGTTTCAGGTCATAGACTTCAAGGTACACTACTTACAGACAGACTCCAGCACTGAGGCGTAACTTAGATTTTGATGGTTCCATCTTGGGTCATCCATGACTCTAGAGTGACACTGACTTTTAAATCCTGAAGACATGAATTCTGGGGGTTTTGGGTTGATTTTGTTTGTTTGTGGAGTTTGGGGGTAGGGGGGGGTGGTGGGAGCTGGTTGGTTGGGGGTTTTTTGTTTGTCTATTTGATTCTTCCATTGTTAGTTTATATTCTGCTGTGCTGTACAAAACCTTTGAACTCAGTCAAATTCAGAAATAAACTCAATACCAATCCCAAATCATTCAAGTCCATTGATAAATGCAAAGTATTAAGCTCTGATACAGATATCTACAGATAGGAGATTGGGCAAAGAAAGTCACATTACTTCCATTCTAAAAATAACAAAACATCAAATTAGTAAAAGAAGGTACCATATCACCATAGAAAAACATACAGTAAAAAAGCCTCAATTCATGTATAACTCAAATACAGATGTTAAGCATTTCTCAAAAGGCTCAGATCAGCTAACAACAGTGACTGACTGACCACTTTGAAATAGCTCCTGCTAGACCTGGCTGAAAGAGTGATACCCTAACTGGAAACACAGGTTTGATAAAATTGAAACACTTTGTAGGTGCAGGTCAATTTAATCAACATTTCTGAGAAAAGAGATTCCCAAATACTCATTCACACATTTTATTAATTCTAGCATAACTACAATACAGGAAATAAAACAAAAAGGAATGTACTAGCCTATGTTTCTAAAACTTGCTTAACCTTCCATTAGATTCATCCACTAAAGGATTTTTACAAGCATCAGCTTTCAAACATGTTTGACTGATTGTTTAATGCAAAATGACTTTAAAGTGATCTAATAATAGCAGGAAACATTTGCATCCCACCTCAGCCTCCTACTTACCTTGTCAACATGTGGGTGCCAGTATTCATCATGTGTTGTCTTGGCTTCTGTGTTGTTTATTCTGGAGAAGAACGTTGGCTTAGTCAGGTACATGGAAGCAGAGCTGATACCAAATGCCTGAGCAATCCTTTGTTGAATTCTCTGTCTCACATCACTGCAAAGAACATAACACAACACAGCAGGCTAAGTGACAACTCTCTCCTGCTTCTTCTATATTCTCCTTCATTCACTGGTACTGCTTCTTCAGAGCTGAGCTTCTTCCTTAGCTAAGAAATCATGGGGAACATATACCCGTTCTTTCTGTCTTATTTTACCTTAAATAGAGGAGATCTACTACATCAAAAAAGAGAACCCTCTAGTGTTTTGGGTTGGGGTTTTTTTTTTTTTTTACTATCAGAATATCAAGAAAAAGAGATGATACCTCTCCTATGGGCTAGGTTTTAAGATTTCTGTGTGTAAACACCCTGTTTTCCTGAAAAATACTATGCATATCTCATTGTTTATTAACTACTGAAAAGATTAGTCTTTCACATATATATATCACTTATCTAAAGCAGATAACTAGAAAGTTGTGTCTTCACAAAGGGTTGCCTCTGGAGCACCTTCAATTGTTTTTACACTAATTTTAAACTAACCAATTAAGTCTCTTGCACCACGAAACTCAGGGTTCTCAGTCAACATACGTATTGGTATCATAACCAGATCTTCCTTAAAAGTGAATGCAAGATACCTTTCCCAACTATTTTCAAAGACTGAACCAAGCTACTTCTACCTTGGCTATTCAACCATCCTATTTCTACCTGCAATTCCTGGGAGACGGGAAGAAAAGAACAGGATTTTAATTTTTAAACTTATAAAAATAGAAGACTAATAATCACACATGCATCAGTACACAGAACTGCTTATATAGCAGCAGGCATTTTTCAGGACAGATATCTATGCACAGCAGGCTAGTGCAGGGCCATCTAGAACTGCCAGCCTTAGGTCAGTCAATGACACTTTTAAAGAGAAGGATTTGTGATGAGTGAAGAATACCACTGGCACATCCCACCAGTAAACACATGCAGCTAGTATTTAACTTTGAGGAAATTTAAAAACCAGTAAAGAATGCAATAACGCAATGAGATTAAATTAAGACATTGAGGTTTTAAAATGTAATCCTCTATGTTTCTTAAAATCTTTGTATTTGCTTCTCCCAATTTTAATACACTCTCAGCTATTGAAGTAGGCTCCCTTTTCTTCCTTCCTGAGTGCTTCAAAAGCAGCACACAAACAAGATATTCTGAGTAAATAAACTTCTCAAGTTGTGCATGGAATTACATTAGTAGTTTTGCATCTTTTCTGCATCAGGCATTTCTCCACTGGGTAGTACTGAACTTCAGCATAATTTTCAAGAAAGTTTTTCCCAAGTATTTCTCTAGGGAACTTAAAACAGTGACTAAAAAGAAGTGAGAGAACTAAAATCAGACCTACAGTGTTAGCCTGTAAAAGTCACCTCTAAAAACTATTTCCACAAGTACTAAAAAAAATCCTAAACACTCATTCTGTTCACATCTGGGGCCTCACCAAAAATAAAAATTAAAAAAAACACATACAGATTTAATTTTTAACCTGTCTCACTTTACATTTTTAGGGGTCTAAGGTTTAGGAGTCAATTCAAGCTGCTTTACATGTGAAATATCAAAACCATTAAACAAAGTCAGAGCCAAGATTTTCAGGTATTTACATGGCTGTGTGAACCAAGGTTTTGAGTTGAGAGCTACATAGTGGTAGTTTGTAAAACTGACATCAAGAAAGGATCTACAGGTCCTTCCTCTCATGCCTGTGGGAGCCTGATCTTCCTGGAGAGACCCCTTTCCAGTAGGCTTTGCTTGTACAAAAGGCCCTTCACAGGATGACCTTTTCATGAGAAAAGGTAGAGGCAAAAAAATAAATATTCAGGATTAGATTATTTTTCATCTTTCCCAGCGTACACACATGGCAAAAATACATGTAATCTATATTGCTGTAAATTAGGTATTCCCAAATTTGAGGCTTGAGTTTAAGAGGTACAACCGAAACCTTGGTAACATGATAGAGCAAAGAGTGACAGGCCACCTCAGCCTCCTGATTTCTTCACATCCTCTGGATACTCTTAGATTTTTAAGCATGAAATACTGTCCTGATACACAAAGTATTATCTGATACATCTCCAACAAATGCTCAAGCAGTTTAGAGTTAATACAAACTATTAAACTGAAAAAAATGTGCCTATAAATATGCACAACATCTCTGCACTGTAATGCTGTGCAAAAAGCTCAATTATAGAGAATCAACAAGAAAAACTAAAAAAAAAAGGCTTATCAGTCATGAATAAATTGCAGATTTCCATTGATGTTTGAATGAATAACCCATATGGCAAAGATCTGCTGAAGCAAGCTCTTAAAAGCAACACCTTTGAGTGTCTAAATGCTTTTTCCTGTTTGAGTATGTACCATACTGCTCAAAAAGTACAGAAACTCCATGAAATTCCTATTTGAGCCAGCACATAGATATTATTTCTACACATAGATTGTGTTTAATATCTACTTTCTAATAATGTGGCATCAGTCAAATCAAATACATAGCCACTAATCTAGAGAGGGAAATGGAAAATATGCAAGGAAAGACTGTTTCTCAATGCATGTGAATAACAACCAGGACTTCTCACTTTGTCATATATAAGTGGCTGCAGTTCAAAATAAATTTAAGAAAGCCACATAAAGTATAAAAGAACTTAATGCCTAATGTAGAGAGTGGGAGGGAATTAAGATGCAGAACACTGATCTTACTACAAAACATTGCATTGTGCTGTTGTAACTAATGACAAGGAGATCTTGGCTTGCAGCTGATGTAAGAGGGTGTAAAAAACATCCATTTACAAGTTTGGTGCCAAAGGCAGGGATAACTGTGCTGCAGAAGGCAAGTTTTGTGGGGTGCTTTGTGATAATCTTGGTTGCCCTTCATCCACATTTATCTGATTGCAGAAGTCATCAACAGGTTGACAAACTTGTCAGTGCAAACATGAACTCTGCTTCAAGCTCTATAAGGTGTCCCAGGCCCCTCTTTGTGAGAGCAAATTAAACACCGTACATGGGAATCAAATGTTTACCTTGCAGTAGGTGCAAAGGCATGAGTTTTTAGAGATGAAGTGTTCCCTAGAATCCTGTAAAGCATGTATCTGAACACATGCACCTGTGTACTTCAGCTCATTCTGTGCCCACTCTCTGCCAAATACAGCAGGTAGCTGTTTTCAAAAATAGTAAAGTCACTTTTCAGCCTATAAAAACTCTTCTGTACAGCCTGCTTTCCAATGACCTGGCCATTTCAACATTTATCGGTATCATGACTGCTAGTTTTTCTTTTCATTCTTTTCTTCCTTGCTATTCCAGACACAGCCTATCGTAAATATAGTCTATTGGTAAAATGCATAAGGACAAACATGTTGGAGTTCATGTGTAAATCACATGACAAGATAATCCAAATTTCACCTTAGAAGGTGCTATTAAGGAAGGAATGAATGAGCCCAGAAATTCTGGCTACCTTGGAGCTGGTACAGTAAGAGCCACATTGTTCCCCCAGCCACTTCTCATATGCACCCAGAAGAAGCAGGAGCCTCAGGCAGGAGCTTCCCCTCCCTTCTCGATCCTGGCCCACTCATTCTTTACACCTCTTCCTCCATATCCCACACATATCAAAAACTGTTGGGAGAGCTTTGGTGTACTATAGCTACAAGGAAAATACTTTTTTATGCTGGAGAATGCAAGTATTCATTTTCAAAAACACAGCAACTATTCTACCCATTCAAACTGCTTAGGGTGTACCCTGGCTCTGACCAGATGCACTGAACAGAGCTCTGCTGTAGCAATAAACAAACAAGTACAGCACCCAGTCAACAACAGAAGTAACAAATGAATCCCTCCTATAATTTGTCAGCAGCAATCCTTGTACATTTGCACTGAGTCACTGGATAATACCAAAATGCACAGCCCACACTCAGGGAAAGACAGAACAGAATTCCCTGAAAAGAACACATGACCACATTCTGTAAAAGCAGTTACTGAAATCTATTTGGAGTCAGTTGGATGAGAACGAGGTGGGGGGGAAGCCTAAGTAGCTAGAAGTCTAAGGAACATACAGCTCAAGTGAAAGGATGTTCACTAGATTGCAAAGTTGCCAGCTTAGTGTATCAGCAGCAGCACGAAGGACTGAGTGAAACAACTAAAAGTGCCACAAAAAAGTTTGAGAGACACAAGCTCTGCCAGACCAAGCAAAAAAAAAATGCACAGTTAGGAGCCACTGCAAAGTGTGATTCAAATACAGTGACAGGAACACTCAAAGCTTTGCAAAACTACACAACTTCTCTAGCCCACTTGTCAGCATCTCTGCAATGTTCCCAGTGACAAGCACCAAAGGCAGCAGAAGCAAAGCAATGCTCTTCTACAGCCAGAAAGTTTTAACAGAAATCACACATGCAGATCAAATATAGGCAGAAAGCAAAATATCAGCTTTTCCTCTGCTCTTTCTAGGTCTCTACCTTATTAAGTTGTAAGATTTTGGAATAAATCTTTCTTAGTGTCATTTTCTACTGAAGTCACAACCCTTAAAGCAAGCATGCAGATTTAAAAGGTCTCTCTTCTGGATAAAGATGCTATTATGTGAAAGGAAGAATTGCTGTAATATGCTTGGCAGATGGTGGTTAAAGCATCAGCCTAGAAACCATAACTGATTCTGAAGCAACATAACTTTGACAGAGACAGCTCACAAACCAGGCTCCTGGCTCAGAATGCCTACTCAGATTTGTTATTGTTGCAATCAAGTAATACTTAGACATGAATTACATTTAGTTATTTCTCTCAAGAGTGTATTTTTAAACTGACCTCAGTAGTTAAGTGAAAGGAATAAAGATAAATGCTCCCAAGAATAGCATAAAATCATTCATTAAGGACATAAGGTACTGCAGTCCATGTTAAAGCACTGCCATTAATAGGAATAGAGGCATTTAATGATATGTTTTGTATTAAATTCATATCCAGCAGACTGAAACATCCCCCACACTGGAATGAAATACCAAGAGAAAATTGATATTACCTAGCAGTTGTCTCATCTCACAGTGTAAGGAACAGAAATTCATAAGAATTATTGAAAAACTGAATGTTTCTATGAAACAGAAATATTCTTTAGTAAGACAATCCCTCCATACAGTCATGGTATTTCTACAGATTCTTTGATGTTCTACAGAATGCAAGGCAATACAAAGACTATTTTCAAATTATTCTCCACTACCTTGGTGAGGTAGAAACTATATAATTCTTCTACACAATCAAAGTTCAATAATAACTGAGGAAGCATCTCAATTTTGTTATTTTGGGGGCAGAAGTAAACACATGTTAAAGAAGTTCATTTATAAAGACAACAGTATCTAAAAATAGTTGTTGAATAGAAATAAGTTTTAAGTGGTTAATATATTAATACAAATAATATTAGTATAGTAATAAAACTAATAAACCTATTTGGCTACTTAATACTACTTCTACCACTAGAGGGAGGTCATATTCCTTCACAAAGGCAAGACAAAAAAGAGTTAAAATGTTCAAGCCAGGTACATTTTAAATTATGAGAAAGCAATTGAAATGCATAACTAAAGATTTACCATGTCTAGTCAACAAAGAATGCTTGTTCCTAAACTTTGGCCACACACCTTCAGAGACACATGAAACTTGTTATATTTGGTGTCTTCGTTAAGTAGATGAGCAGGTCTACAGGAAAGCTAAAAGCATCAGATGCCAAAGCTATTACATTATAGCACTATTTCATATTCTGGCTTCTTAGGGGGAAAGTATGCTCTGCTTCTCTAGCCAGAACATTAGTAATTTGAAGTCCTTCTACTTCCAGCTTTACCACTTAGTGTTTTACTACACTTCACCCAAAAAAAACACAAGTTCATAATGTAGTAATAGTACAGGATTGTCTTTTTCATCTAACACAACACCTCTTGGATAACATGTGTCAAATAAAGAGTTAATGCTGAAGGATTTTACATCCCAGCTATAACGTTCCAGCAAATAACCACAGAACTCAGGTGAAGCAGCTCTCCTTACTTGCAGGGCTGGCATCAGCCCTTTACACAGAAAGGGAAATGTGTAGTGCTGCCATCATTCTGATTAAATTTACACCATCAGTACTGTCCTGACACTGGTAATGCACCTAAATAACATACACTGTTTTGAACTTATCAGGAAGTGACCAAAAGGTCCTTTTACTTCTTTTCCTCAATGCATCTTAATTCTCACAGAGATTACTATTTGAGCTGCAAAATCAATTGTATATCTGAACCCTAAGGACATCCCCTCCAAATCCACATTCTACAAAAAAAAGTTATGTTTTGTGATTAGTTCAGCAGTTACTGAAAATCTTTACCGATATAATGCAAAATCCTCTTCTGTGAAGATGTCTCGAATTTTGTCCCCAAAGTACCTGAAAAATTAAACAACAGTCTAAAACAAGAGTTGCCAAATCAGATTGCCCAAGTAACACCAAGATGCATTCTCACCCCTATCTGTGCTTTACCCACAATCAAAAAGTGAAAACACAACACAAAACAATCCTACAAGTGCTTTTGAGCATGACGTTCCAAAAGCATTACTAAAAGATTAAATGTTAAATGAATAAAGGATCAAGATGCAGCAATTGATAGTGGAATTCCCCAGACAAAAAAAGTCCCTTCCCACATCATGGCATAAGCATGTGGATTTTTAAGAGTTCAGACTACTTGATTTCTTCCACTGCTGACAAACTGGACTATAACTGAAAAAATATTATTTACTGGTACAAGAAGAACAGTCCAAATAGAGGTAATGGTAGCTTTCAAAGAGCCCAGTTCAACAGAAGATCAGTTTTCATGCCACAAAAGCTCTTTAACAGGTCATGGAAACTGTGGTGAATCTAAGCACCTTCTACAGTTTGTCATTACTAACCCCAGCCCACAGGGCTTGAGTCATTTGGAAAGGCAATGAGCACTGAAGGTGGAGGGTAACAAGACAGGCAGCAAGCCACGGTCCCGTTTTACCTGTACAGATTAACAAAATGCTTCCCCAGTGAAAGTGCTCCAGAGTGCAAGTCCAAAATCGATGCCTGGGAAAAGAAACAAAAAAGTAGGAAAAATGAGCATGAAAAGGTTTTATCATTATTTAACTGTGACATTTAATAACTGTCCCAAGTTGGCACTCACTTTCTACAGCCTCCCAAGTAAAAATATTCGTTTCTAGCATTTGGTTTCACAATATTAATGCTTACAACTACAAACCTCCCTCAGTTTGCTATATAGATGCACAAAATATCCAGGTACTATGAAAAAAAGCCTAGGACTGCTACTCCTGAGATTCAAATCTGACATACAGAATTGCCAGAGTCTTTCTCCAAGGGCTAAGGGTAAGACACTGTTTTTTCCAGATCTCTTCTTGAAGACATTGCCCTTCCACACAAAGATGACTAATTTTCCAGTATTTGTGAAGCACTCAAATAGCAGCACTAATATTTACCTTGCCCAACATTTGTTATTAAAACTTCTCTTTCACCAAGAGTTCCTGTATACTTTTCATATTTAATATGGACATAAAAGTATATTTAAAAGAACAATTATAATTCTAAGGCTTACTACAGCCAAACTTTCTTTTCCTCAATTTCTAAACCACTGTAAAAGAAAAACAGAGAGTAAAAAGTTTTACATATGAAAATTCAATTCATTTCTTCATCCAATTCAAGCCAAACACTTCTGCTGCGCTCCAGACCAAGCTAAGAAGATTAGTATTCACATTTGCCAGGATAGAGAGCTAACTCTCCGGACTCTAAATTATTTCTCTAAATTGAATAAAGTACACTTCTGTATGTCCCTTGCTGTCCACAAAACACATGTTTGTTTTGCATCAGTTAAACAGTATTTAAAAATACGACTGCTTAATAGCAGTCTTTTTTTATAATAAAAATATCAAGTAGCAACAGTTAATTAACTGGACTGGCACCAAAGTAATGACATCTTTGATATACAGTATCTGGGCAAAAGCACTCATCTTGGAATTTGGCATTTCTTGATGCACCACATACCATTCACATTATTCTAGCAAAATCCAAACAATATTAATACCACTAGGTGAGCTGCATGGAAAGAATGATAACTTCCACCTTACCAGCACCAAGAATTTCTGGGCATGGTTGGAACAGTACTGTTTGAAGCCACTTTGTGTCTTTACTCAAATACAGACAGGCTGGTGAAAGAGCAGCAGGAAATGATCAGTCCACAGGCGTGTCAGAGCTGCAGTGCCAGGCCAGCAATACAGCTTCACATTCACCCCTAGTCTCAAAGCACTTTTCTCCCTCCTGCCCTGGATCATGTTGGAGGAAGCCACCCATGAGTCTCTCAGCAAAAGAAAACTGCTGTAGGCTCAGAGTAATTACTCTGAGCTTCACAGCTGAATCATGAGAACCTCACTAAAGTCTCTTTTTAAGAGGAGATAGTAACAACCTTCTTTTAATAAACATACTCAAATAATTTTATTTACCCCTTTAAAGATATATATTGTAATGAGCTATTCAAGTGGACATAGCATGAGCTTTTCAGACCTTCCCTTCCCACAGTTGTCTAAAAGCCTCAGAGGACTGTTATAGAAACAAGTAATCTCAGTCATGTAAGAGCAGTTCTTGTAACAAGCTTTACTCAAGCTTCAGAAGCAAAATATTTTCATTCATTGGTTTCTGGTTCTGTACAATAATCTAAGCTAGAGCTAGAAGCAGTAAAACTGCTCCTGTGTAGCTTCAAAAATATGCTTGTAATCATGTTAAAGTAGATTATAAGGAGAAGTAGCAGGACACATCTGAAAAGATGAAGTTAATTTAAAAACAAATTGCCTTTCAAATACTTTCAACATGCTTTCCAAACATATACATTTCTTCTCACTCTTCAAGCTCCAGATGATTACATTTGGGAAGATCCAAAAATAACTAAATGAATCAATAAAAGACACCCCCAAAAATGGTAGGTATTCATAGCTGAAAAGATAATAGCTACAATATAAAGCCTAGAAAAGCCAGATGAAGACTGAAAAGGAAATCTGAAAAAGAAAGAATATTCTTCAAGGTTCTTTCAGACAGGGGAAAACAACCGAATGCCAAACATAGATGGGGACTTGATTACACATGAGCACAAGAGCTATTTGTTTAACAACTACCTTTGAAAATGAAACACATTTATTTTGGTCTCTGCCATTTCAGAATATTAAACATTTTTAGCATCATTTCCTGCACTGAGAATACCTTGATGGGAGCCTGTGTCAACACCACTACTTCAGGTTCAGCTATCTGATCAAGGGTCAGCCTGCAATTCAAGTCAGTGTTCCCAGGCTAAAAACTCTACAAAGTTTATCTAAAGATGGCAGGAACATTGCAAACACACATACCCACACACTTATTTCCAAGAGATTGTTTAACAGAACTACCCCAGTTTATAGAACTTCTGTAGAAAGGAAATTGAACTTCCTTTAAAAAAAAAAAAATAAAATAAAGCACAAATATAAGTTATTTTGACCCTTGTATTGTTAGTCCCACATTCTCCACTCTCTCACTGCTAAAAGGATTCAAAACAAAAATGGAAGTAACCACCACTTCTCAGCATATGGCAAAAAGGATCAATTTCCATGTCTTGCAAAGCATGACAGGCCCTGCCTTTGATCCTCACTAAGAGATTGCCAGCCACTAAATATATATTGACTTTTACAGCAATTCCTCCACTCTTTAAAAGTTTTAAGGATGCTTTTAAAGGAAACAGCAGACACATTGCCCAAAAGAGAAAAATGCAAAATACTTTCTTCTATTTGTCTATAGAGGAGCAGGTAGCACTCAAAGCCTTCCTCACTCCTTCTGTGGGAACACTCACACACTCCAGCTGAGCAGAGGGAAGAGCAATGAAGGTTCTACATCGCCACCAATTCCTGGGCAGCATCTGACCTGCTGTCACTGCAAGCAGTCTTAGACAGACTCTCAAAATAATACCACCTTTAAATATCCTTCCCTTCTTGAATCTTGAGAGCAGATGGACAAGGGTTACCTAGGGTTCTTAGGGTAATGCCTCTTAAAAGTTACAATGATTAATTATGAGACACAAGCATAACCGATGTACATCATCCAGATTGCTGGAGGTACACTTTATTGTTGTGGAAATTAAAAGGCCATATTTGGCTATAGAGTCCAGTACAAGTTTATACTGGATATAGATTAGACACAACCAGTTCCTCTCCAGCTTCCTAGAGTTAAGTCTGGATAATCACACCAACAGACAGCTGTAAGTAAAGTGAAAGACACACTGCCAAGTATGTCCTTCACTCCTGACAAGTATGTGTTGCCTAAGTGCTATCAGGAGGCTAATTAGGAAGGAAGAAAACTGTGTCCTGTAGTAGAGGTATGAGTTAGGACAAGTAGTATGCAGAGGCTTTATCTTCTCCCTAGAAAACACAGAGCTGACAGCATTTTGAGGACTTCAGAGTTTGTATGGGAGGGCTGAAAGCAGAATAAGGAGGGATATGGTCTGCAGAACCACTGTTCTGTGCACAGGTTCGTGGGTCCACATCAGAAACCCTTGTTTGGTATCACAGCTACATAGGTTGTTTGTTTCTCCCAGTGACTGAGAAATTTAATTTTCCCCTGCAAAAAGGGGGTCCAGGTGGTTACTCCTGTCAGATTTTCTGCAACACAGGAAATAGGCTGCACCAAGGGATTTCTTTTCTGGGTCTTCTAAATAGTAAATGAGTCATTTTATTTACATTCGAGAGATGTTGTGAGAGCAGCACCTACAAAGATGTGAATGAATGAGTCATGACTAAAGTAGTAACGCAAGCAGAAGTAGTATGCAAGAAAGAAGAAAGAGAAGTGTCATTATCTTTATAAAGAAAAAACCTAAGCTGAGGCAAACATCAAGAGAATTAATGCAATTCACATTCTGTGAATAAGGAGCAGAGTATAAAACTATTTCAGAGACAGAGACGTACAAGGCAAAGCAGCATACTGGTGGAGAAGATGCTCCTGTTTGGATTCTGTTGAAAGTTAGACTAGAAGGTTACAATGGCATCTTCTGGCCTCACTGTGTGCTTGTGTAAATAAAAATAAATCTAGGAAAAACTGCAAAGGAAGGTAAGAAAGCTCAGCATGACAGCTGGGGCATGAGTCCTGGGAGATTTCAATAATTCAAATGTTTGCCAAGACTTTCTCAACACAAAAGGATGAAAAGGGAAACAAGTTTTTGTGCTATACTTCAGTCCTTGAAGGAAGCAGAAAGGGCAAAGAGACAAGAGAATTGACAGTCACAAACTGCAAGTTTAGGTCTTTACATTATTAAATTATATCCAGACACAGACACAAATCCATTTCTGTGAATTCAAACTATAAGTAGTATGACAGACAAAAAAAAAAAAAAAAGAAATCAGACATCTTGCTTAAGAAGGTGTTAAGAGGAAATTAGAGAGCATGAAAATGCAGTCTGCACTCCAGTAGAAAACTGAAGAAGTTTTATTTGGAATAGTGGAGAGATCAAATTGGCTAAGAAAGAATTAAAAAGAATTCAACAGAAACAAGAAGTTATTTAAGGAATTTTTAAGGAATAAATTAGTCTTAGAACAGACATAATTGGACAGAATTAACCAAACACTCTAAAGCCAGACCTAATCCAACAGGCTTGAAGCCTGAGAGGCACACAGGCAATGCAGCTAGATGAAGTAAGACCTGAATCGTTTTATATACTACATAAGTAAGAGATTTGAAAAGACAAAAGGCTTAAATCAAGAAAGACAGTTTCATCTATACATTATCAGCACACATCCATCAGTATTTAATGACATTTGTGAGCCAAGATAACACTATAGGGAAAAAATAGACACTCCAAGACACAGGGAATACAAGCACACACATCAAAAAAGAAAGAGGAAAACAGCAGGATAGGGGAGAAAGAGGCATAAAAAAAATAGGTAAAGAGACTGTATTTAAAGGCTTCTCCTAAACATGTTTTCCTAGAAACACTGGTCAGCTTTTGGTTTTAGCATCTTTCAGTGTTAATCCACTATTTTGGATAAGGCCTCAATGCAATACAACACAGCTTTCTTCCTGCACCTTTCCCCAAGGAGTAACAACATGCAAGAGCTTCTCACATTTACAGATTATGAGAAACATGAGAAGGCTTGGATCAGAGCCCAGACCTCTCAATGGACATCAGATTTGGTAACAGACTTATTTTATTGCAGCAATAGAATCTTCTTTTCCCCGCCTATTTCCCTCCCCTTTAAAAGAAAAAAACCTCACAATGATGATTCGAAAAATTATGGAGATGATGGATTTATATTTGTCTGACACTCTGGCTTGTTATTCAAGTGAGCCAGCTCAGGTCCCCTGCCCAGCTCTGTGCACTAGGCAGCAAGTTCACCTCCCCTCCTGTCATTTCCAAGCTTTCTCCATCTCATTTTCCCCAATTCCTGGACACCCAGCTGGACATCAGCTTTCTGTGGTCCAAATCCATGAAGCTGTCTGTATTATGCACTGCCTTTCTAATCCCTCTTTGTGGAAGTCTAATGAAAAACCACATATAGGTCCTGGAAGAACAGGATAGGAAACCCACTTGACAGCACTGATTACAGGAGTTAAACCAGAGGTCCCAACAGGCACAGTAATCAGGGCAAAGTGGCAAATTGTGGAACCACAGAACTGAAAAAAATCCAAGGGATCCTGACAGAACTGAGCAGAGAATGTTAAATCTTTCTGTCCTGGTTTTTAGCTAGGACAAGAGCTGGGTTTCCTTTTCAGTACCTAGAATAGTGCTGCGTTTTGCTTTTCAGCCTGGGATTTGTTATGAGAGAGACACTGAGAACATCCCCATGTTGCATTTGTGTCCCTGGCACTGAAGGACTTTGTGTTTGTCCGTCTGCAAGCGCAAGATCTCAGGGGGTGAGGAATATTGCAGTGGATCAGCTCCATGGGCGTTGGGCTCTGCCAAGGGGCTGTTCCATTCCCTGTCCCCCATGGGCAGGAGATTCATGAGGGGCTCTTCCTCTCTTGCTCTCTCTGGCTTTCGCTCGGGCTCTGGCTCTCCCGGGATTGCGGTTTCGGTTCAGGATTGTGGCTCCTCCAGGATCGTGATCTGGGAACGGGCCGGGCTCGGTCAGTGGGGGGGTGAGCAATGGCACTGGGTGTCACTCATTTGCATATTTTATTACTGTTATCGTTATCACTACTATTTTAATATTAGTATTATTTTAAATTTTCTCTCTATTATTAAACTGTTCTTATCTCAATCTACAAGTCTCCTTATCCTTGCCCCCCCAATCCTCTCCCCTATCCCCTGGGGGTGGGGGGGCAGTGGGTGAATGGCTGTGTTGGCTGCTGGCCAAGGGCTACCCCAGTGAAACTATCACACTTTTAAATATACTGATTCAGATGGGCAGCCCTGCTTAAGTTTCTAAGGTTATATTTTTGCAGATCTTTCTCAGCAATCACAAGGACAATAAAGTTTTGTTTTGTTTTTTTCATTGAAACTTTTCTCCATTTCTGCTAATATATGCCCTAATTCAACAGAGGCCTAGAGAATTGGTTTTGTTTACAAATACTCAATAAACAGTTTCTGTTCATACACAAAAACATCCTGAGATCAAAGACAGGGAGAAAGAAATTAAAATAAATGTGGTTGTTAAAGAGAAGTGGGTTTGGATTTTTAAAGATTATTTAAAGGTCTACTTAAGACATTAAATTGATTTTTTTGTCACTACACAAAACCAATCTTTACACGGCACTGTGAACCACTGTAATTTAGTTATAGAAGTCAAACTTGTGCAGTTCTGCTACTCTAACTGTTTCTAGATGGTGAAGGCAAAATCAATTCAAAACACGTGCTAGATAGGAAGCGTCAACTGTATTGCAGAAGTCACAAATTATACTGCTAGCAGAAGTATTAATGGGAGATAAAATAACTTTCACAAATTTTTTTCCAAGTCTGAGAATTTTTCCTTCCGTTCAGTTTCCTCTCCTTTAGCCCCAAAAATGCATTTATAATCTTGCCTTGGCAGTAAAAGAATGTAAAAAGTAACAGGACACTGCTCACCCCTCCATCAGATCCTCCCAAGGACAGTCCCCTCTCTGCTATTCTGCAGGCAAAACAATAACCTCAGATGAGAACTGAAGTCTGATTACTTTGTCCTTTAATGTCATTATTTACAACATGTAACTCTTCAGTAAGTGTTTGATGCATCAGATGTAACCCACTTGAGCCGAGAAGAGAAGCTGCCATTTATTTGAAAGTGAATATGCAGCCTGTCATGAAAATAAAGTATCTATGTTGCAGATCATTTCTGAGCTTGTAGCCTCCTTCCATAAACCCCCAAAACACCCTCCCCCCTCCAAAAAAAAAGATTATCTTTCAAATACATTCTAACAAAGATTAAACAAAAAAATCCAGATCTTTATTCTTTGGGGCAGTGTAAATAAACCTGTACAATGCAGAAACACTCTATCAAAATCAGAGGCCCAGCTGAATTTGAAATCAGAGGGGCAGCCTGAGGAGCGAACAAAGCACTTCTACCAGCTGCACATCGCTTCCAGCAGGACAGTGACATGCCTCACTTACATCATTATCAAGTGCAAATCAGAAAGCCAATGATAACTTTTCTAACTGCCTAATTTGACAGTGTCCCCTGCTATTTCATTTAAACTCACCACTTAATGTTCATAGAGGACTAAAGGGTCAGCAGTAGCTTATAATTACCCAGAAAAAGACTCAGCTGAAAGGAAGCTTATGCTGTTTTGTTCTGGTTTTAAAGGCCAATGGAACAAAAGGCCAAGTGAAAATCCTTCAAAACTTATTAATTTTCTTTTTTTCTCTACAACACTCCTGCTCCACAGAGCTAGGCAGATTCTCTATGAAAGAGAACTGCCTTCACTACAGCAAAAAAAGCAAAATGGCTTTTAAAAAAAGTTTAGTGTTTTAACCAGTTTAAGCCATCCTCCTTCAGCTAATGAGCTTTGTGCTACACCTTAAGCACTTGCACACTGTCATTAAAGTCAGTGCTCAGAAGTTAAGAGCTAAAAGAAAAATTACCTACGGATTCTTTCAGCTTCTTCCCTTGTGATCACTGCATCAGTCACACCTCTTCCACACTTTCTAGGAGTGCACCCTGGAACACAAAGGGGAAGAGAAAAAAAGATCATATTTAAAAAAAGATTCAAAACAAATATCTACTATTTTTATTCTCCTACTCTCAGATTCACAGCATTCAGAAGGTGTATTAACAATCTCTGAATTTTTAGATCACTTAAACTACAAGAAAGTTACATCTCCATTTTGATGTGTTTTGCACTGCAATCAGAAAGCAAACAAGCCAGCCAATGTCACTGTAGCTTCTGCACAGATTCAAGTCCCCAGAGCTCACCTAACCTACACCACTTTGCCTGCTATGGCCAGTTCACCTGTATTCACCTGTAATTCAGGTGAATTACACCATCTAAGCTGACAAGTTATTTCCTGCTATGTCTGTAATGCACTTCAACACAATGGAGCTGATGTAAAAGGAATGAATCTCAACCCACAAAGTAGCACAGCCGCTGGAGATGTGGCTGTCACACATGACCCAGAGCCTCCAGTGTTTTAGGTGAAGCAAAATACACACCAATACCATGCCTTTAAAAACAAACTACTTTTCTTGTTGATCTGAAAATAATTATTCCAAACTTTAAATTTGTTACAAGTCATTACAAGCTTTAGGAATAAAACTGACAGTCCTTTGCACATCTACCACTTCAAGCTAGATAAGATGGCCTTTGTTTAATTAGGCAGTATCAAGAGATGCATCTGTATCTCAATGTACATGCAGCAAGACAGACAGATCCAGTGATTCTTCTTTAAGGGCGAATGTCAGGAGGATGGACCCAGGCTCTTCTCAGTGATGCCCAATGGTAGGACAAGGGGCAGTGGGTGTGAGCTGGAACACAGGAGGTTCTGCTTAAACTTCAGAAGGAACTTCTTTCCAGTGAGGGTGCCAGAGCCCTGGGACAGGCTGCCCAGGGAGGGTGTGGAGTCTCCTTCTCTGGAGACATTCAAGACCCACCTGGACGCCTTCCTGTGTGATCTCATTGAGGTTCCTGCTCTGGCAGGGGGATTGGACTGGATGATCTTTCAAGGTCCTTTCCAATCCCTGACATTCTGTGATTCTTCTTCCCAAGTGCATTAGAGAAAACAAAAGTTCCTGTTTATATAACTGCTCTCTGAAAGGAATTTGATCTTAAATGATTTAATCTTACTCACTCTATTCTAGCCTTCAGATAGTCAGGGCAAGAACTGGAAAGCTCAGCAGTGCCACATGGATCCTTCCATCTCAGGCTGACAGTTCAAAAAAAAAAAAATCAGCTGAGATCTCTAGCAACTAAACCCCCTTAATATCATGTGTCCATATACAAAATGTTTTCTGTTACAGTCCAGGTTAAGTCTTCAACTCTAAGGTCCAGTACACACCACTCTTGGGTACAACACACAACATGAAAAGAGTTCTGTCCCAAAGCCAGTCTCAACAGGATAAAGAAACTCAATTGTCCTGAAGAAAAATGAGATGCAGAAGACAACAACACACTTGGATGCAGATGCAGTGGACGTAACACCAGAGCACCACCATGCTAATGACAGAAAAGAGAAATGCCACTCGCACAGGAATGAAATCTCTACTTGACAAAAGAAAAATGGAAAACATTGGTTAGAACACAAACAGTTCAAGCCATGAAGAAGATACTACTAGTAACAATCATTCCTGAATAGGTATAGGAACTTTATGTAGAATCAATACATGCTAGTTCATGTATAAACACAGAGAACTGTATTTAACTCATGTTTCTGTATTCAACCCTAAATCATGCAATTTATTAACAGAGATTCCTGTAGCTGAGCACTGAGAACAATTGTATTTGTCCACTGGAAGTCACTGGACAAGCAATAGTAACATAAAAAAGCAGTGAACTTGAGTGTTCCAACCATACTGCCAGGTGAATAAAAACAGCATATTTCAGATTTGCTCAGCCTCCCCCTCTCCCCCAACACATGAGTCAAAAAGGAAACAAATAACATTCCATATCAGGTGTCTACACAAATATACCTTGAAGGGCAACTTTTTGTGTAAGACTTTGCACAAAAGTGTCTTGAAGCACACAGCTTGGACATGATAAAAGTCTCTTAAAATTCATTGCTAAGAAATCTAACATTAAATTTTAAAAGGTCATGGAAAAAAGTCAGCAGTAAGAGTTCTAGTTGAAGAATATATGAAAGTTCTTATGAGATTGGAAGTCTGGTCCACAACAGTCTTCAGAACAAGTAAGATCAATTCTGAGCCACCAGAGACCTTGGGATGTCACACGTGGCACTTTACTGGGGAAGATCCATATATAGATGTAAAGCCACAGAAAAGTTGGGATGAGTGTATTTTCTGACATCTGTCAATACACTTACTGTTGCTGAACTGAGCTCCTCTTCAAGGATTATTAGCTCATCAGAACACAAGAAAAGGAGGGGGAAAATCTCCTGGAAAGAAATCAATCAATTCACCTATGTAAGTCAAAAGCATCAGTCTGCTCTGATCAAAAGCAACTGATAACAATGACAACAGACTGAGAGAAAGAGAAATTTTGCCATAGCACAAGTGCTTTGTAGGAAATTCCACTCCATCTTACTGGATATACCCTGGCTATGTCTTGTGTGCACTGCAAAGCCCTCCAATTACACCAGCATTTCAAGAAGAGAGGAGCAATGAGAAAGGATTTGTGGGTGAATAGGCTGAACACTGACAGCAACATACCAAATTATACACACTGTTCCCTTGCTTGGGAAAAGAAAAATTCCTGATATGACACATGTTTAAACTGAAGTCAAAGGCACCCACACCAAGCAGATTGTTTAAACACAAATCAAGGTCAGGAAATCAACTGGATTACAACCCAGATAATTCATTGTGTTTTTGGACTACACAGGAACAATTCACTGAAGTCAGCTCGAGATTCAGATTCCAGGGAGTGCACACTAAGTTATTTGAAGCTGACCTAGGAAACTAGCAGTCTAAAATAATGCTAGAGATTACATTCTTAAGCATCTGTTTATCAATGCCAGCACAGAACCTAAGCACTGTTACAAGAATGAACCAGGACTATTGCTCCTCCAGCTCACTTTTCTCCTCTTGACCCTGTAAGCTAAAGAAATGAGCAGAATCAAACTATACCATCCATCAGAAACTGTAGTGTCTTCATATAAAAAAGGCACCAAAAAATTAAAAATTCTGGCAGCAACCCAAAGGTGCTTTGCATGTTAAAGAACAACACTTTTTCCAACACAGTACCAGCCCCAAAGGTGGAGAATTCAAATCAACATAAACCCACAAGGGCTTTATAGGCAGAAAGTTGTTTGTTCTAAGTTACAAAGTTGAGAGAGGAGGGAGTGGAGAGGGGGAAGCTTCTGTGCCATGTTTCAGGGACACTGTAGATATCTCCTCTCCAACCAGAAAGGCTAGGCACAGTTTTTGTGGAAATTCTTGCATTTTTCAATCTCAATTCCAGGGGCCAACAATTTGCAAGTTAAACATTGCAGATCTTGCAATAAAAATTCAGAGCACTGGAAATGCTGTATTCCTTTGGAGCATATAACCTAGCAGTTCTGAAAAGCAAGTTCTGTAGTAGCCAGCAAACACTGCAAACTAAGTCTTGTCTGCCCTAACAAAAACATACATATTTTACGTTGCTGTGCCTTAAAGGCTCCATCATACATTCAGCAGTGGCAGATTAAAATCAGTTATTCACTTCTGAATGCAAGGCTGAAGAGCATCTCAGAAGCCAATTGACAGGGATGAGATATCTCTGCCTCCAGGCCAGCAAATACTCACCCAAAGAGTGAGACAGATGGCTGAGGCAGTAACAGCTTCCAGCACCCTATTTTAAACTCAGATGCATGTAAAAAAATAGCCAAAGAGAAACTAATTTGGATTCACAGAACTGAAAAACAAACTTACCAAACATTTAGTTAGTAACCATAAGATCCACCGAAAGATGTACAGAACAATAATCAGTAATCACAGATCACATAACACATACTCCACACTGTACCAAACATTCTGGGGGTATAAAGATGTCAATAATTTTATGAAGCACAAGTTTGGATATTGGGAGTACACTTTTTTTATAGTCCTGTTACAAAACAGGATTTTAAAAGGCTGAGGCAACAGGCTGATAGAAAAATGAGATTTTAAGGAGTTTGGGAGAAAGCTGAACACAGAAAAAGGAAGTTCTCTTGGCTAATACAGACAAGAAAAGGGGAATGAATTCCTTCTGCCATTGAAAAGGTCTCCTTAATGCTTGAAAGGCAAAGAAAATTGTCTTAGAGATGAGGGAAAG